TTTTTATTTTTTATTTTTACCAATGGTTGTCTCTTTTCCACTCACTCAACATCAAAAGTACTACAGTCGCTACGCATGAGACGGGTGATTACAAAATGTAAGGATCGAGACACACATCACACACTCCACTTTCACCGAAACAAACTCAACGCAGACAACATTTCAATTCGGTACTACCCACTCGAACTGCATGATCATATGGCTTGGTTGGACAAATCCCTTCAAGTGTCAGACGGGCGTAATTACACCAGATGGATTTGTCTGCAGTAGTGTCTGTAGGTGAACCCCGATAAGCACCGCATGTCGCCAGAAGAGGCTTCGCGCGCATCGACGCTTGACCCTCATTCGTATCTCATGCCTTCGTATCCACTCGTAGTCCGTCAAATTGGAAATCCTGTGAGCACCAATGATCTCCCGGCGGACAGTAAAATGCCCCGCGTATGTGCGAACCAACACACAAGTCAGGCGCCAAGGGGCCATGGCGAGAAAGTGTAACTGATTGTGGGAGACGTCCGGTGCATCGACCGCAGTGGGTATACCGGCATACTGGATGGGGGGAACATTGTAGTTGGCGATCAATACCCAACTCTATTGCTCGGTGATTTTTACGGGGAATCCAACATTCAGGCCGCGTCGATCTTCCAGGAGTAATCTTGCTGGAGTTTTTCTTCCATCGCCTCCCGCAACGCGCCTTCCAGGGGCTGACCATCCACGTCCTCGGCCATAGCCACATCTCCGTCGGAGCTACGGGCTACAGTGCCGTGGCAGATGGCCAAAGCGCGCTGGTGTACCTTCTCCCACGTCTCAAAGTCAAAAGGTCCCTCACTTTCGTTCAAGAGAAGATGGCCATGAGCGGAGAAGGCGAAAACATGAAGAGACACGGCGGCGGCGGCTTCCTTCACGGAGGGCTCCCGCGTCATCTCCCCTGAAGCATCGACAGCCAGCACGGTCGCGGAGTAGGTCATGGATAAGGGAACCGATGCGGACAGTAGCGCCAACAGAGATGTGTGAAGGAGAGCGGGGAGCAAAGTCAAGTACTGTATGCCCGTTCCACCCCGGTTAGCCGTAATTCCTTATACTAGTCAATCTTTGTTGCGAGAGGAGACACCCACCGAATCGCCTCTAGCAACACTTTCTCCTCCTACAATAGCCAAGGTGATCACAACGCCACGCCGAGCGTAGCCCTTCTCTCGTCCCAGGATCAATTTGCCCAGCATATTCTTGATGATTCCTTCGACGTATCGTTCACCAACCCCACCCGGCGCGGTCCCCGGCTTCACGAAAACTTCCACGGTCGCATCCTCCGGCTTCAGGGCATCACGGCGTCCAGGGAGCTCAATTGGTGCATTTACCGATCCTAGGATATTAGATCCGGTCGAAGGACATTGGTAAGAAGCCGAACCATCGGCGCGAGAAAGAGGAGTAAGAGAGGCGGTTGGTCCGACCATGGTGTGAATTCGAGGAACAGGATGTAAAAGCAGACCCCCTTCGTTGTATATATGGAGTAAATATGTTCGCGAATGGGAAACCGGGACCAAGGATGAACGAGAAAATGAGAGGTTACGACGATCGAGGGAGCTGGAGCTTCACTTTCAACTTCCCGCTTGGAAATTTTTGGTCGCCGCGTAGAATGCGGGCCGCCATCTGATTGGTTGGTCTCCAGCTCCTCCGAAAGAACATCAACTCAACGAGGGAATACTTCTGGACTTCCCTTTGGCTTCCTATGCTTGGCAATCCTGGTGAATAAAGTTCATAACTGATTGAGGACTATTCCAAGTATGAAGTATATTATATTTGATCACGCATTCATGCTTACATGCTCCGAGTTTAAGAAATTCCACTACAGCAAGCCTCTTGTTTTATATATATATGTCACTGTTATGGATGCAAACTGCGTTCCGCCGCTCGATACATAAATACCCGGTTAAGTGTGTTTGATGTCCGTCCATCCTCCTACTCTCGTAGCTATAGGATATCCTTATCCTAGGCTTTTCCTACAAATAGGATTGGGCTAGGTCTCCTCACGCCGCCAGGATACTAGAAGAACCTTGTCGCCTATATAATCCCCGGTCAATAGCGATATCGTCGCGTCCCCGTATTCGAGAAAGCCGTGTCTACCACAGACCAACCAGAGAATCTCTCGGTATATCTTCTTCAGATTTCGTTCAATAATCCCTCTCATTCAACCCTTCCATGATGACGGCCTGGTGGAAGTGGAAACAGGACTCTTACAACATGTTTTGCTGAGCCTGTGTTGCCTCAGGTGGCATGCGGGATATTCTCACGGAGAGCACATGTCCACAACGTGTGCGATTAAACTTGTACTCTTTGAATTGTCAAATGACCCGTTCGATAGAGAAAGACAGACTGACACATAAGCCTTTGCACGCTTGTGCCTCCTTAGCGGCACAATACTTGAAATGAATGGTTTGTGTAAATGCGTGTCACATTACGATGGTTCACTAAGAGCCCAGCCTCATTAAGAGAAATCACGTTCTTCGCCTTTCTACATACTTTAATCAACGTCTAGGGTACCTAGACTATTTCAAATGTACCCTTCCTCGCTCGCCAGGATACAGTCAGGACCATTGTTATTTACTAACGACATCATCCGGTTCGAAATATTCAATCAACTCGTTTTCCAGTACCCTGAATTGTATGACATGTTCGGACGTAAGTTCAGCGCTGACTTGAATTGTTAGCTTAGTTGGATGGGAAGTGGGACGAAGGCTTGCATGGAATACGAACCCAAATCCTTTGACACTATCCTGCTCAATAATATTCGTGACTTCCCCCCCAACCGAAGAATTGACTTGCTCTATAAATTCATGAATTTCCTCCCTTGTGACGGAATGGTTGAACATAACCCAGACGATATAAATCTACGAAGAGATCCCAGAAGGTGGTTTATAGGAGATAAATCACATACGAGAAATTTTCTGGTTTCCGGCATGATGGTGAATTGGCGACGATAGTGAAGGAGAGCAGCAAAAGGTTCCGTGGAGTATAGGAGACAATTCGCAGGACAGAACTACCGCGTTATGTATTTCACTACCAAGACGTACTGTGGGGGCTGTTATAAGCACACGTGGAGAGGTAAGTTCATTGATTGTCCCCAGGATAGGTATACAAACCTTCACTCATGCGGTATATGTCATGTGGCTGGCTGACAGATTATAAATACGGTTATTTCTGTCTAAAAGAGGGCCAGAAATGGTAGATCCATGATCTATTGCCCACTTGGCCTGCAATGCGGGCCATGGTTGGCGTGATTTAAATTCAGCTGGGAGGGCTCGTTCGTTTACTTTTAACTGACGCGCCAAATGGGGTTACACTGGTAGACAAAATCTCGAAGGACAATCGCAGGTCCTCTGAAAAGAGCTATAATAATTCTATATTAACCCACAAACACAGCTAGCATGTTTTCCTTTTCAATTCTACTTTGCTATAGATACCTTTTCAGCCATTTCAATCTAAGATAGACTCAGATAGAGAACGGTTACTCAGTATCTCGTTGATTTTACCTTTTATGTCACCTAGGTGGACAGAACAATTCGTGCTACGAGGTACTAAGGACTGCCCACGCCGCGAAGGGACTACATAATCTGTTGATTATACTACCTAATTACTATGATTATCTAAATCAATTGTACTATACCATCTAGATATCCTAATTAGTTGCCTACCTAAGTTGCCTACTTAAATCGCCTACCTTGTTTAACAAATAATCTAGAAACCTAGGACTCTGTAAGAGAGATCGCCAGGGCCCGGTGCTCTACAAGAACAAAAGATCACATAATTCTGAATCTACGATTCAGAATGCACTGGTCGGACCTATATAGCTCCCTGCCGTTACAGACTTTTACTATTTGAAAATATTACTTTAGTAACTAAATACCCTCGAAATACTATATCTTTCTGGATGTAGGGGCTCTTAGACATCCTTTAGTAGTGACTTGTCATCCAGGTGACTAACATCTCCAGGATGATTACCATCACTACTCCATGACTGGCATCTCAATCGGAGAAAAAAAGCATTCATATTGAGAAGGCAGACAGGTATGGAGATTTATGCGAATAAAGCACAGAAGAACTCCAACCTCTCCATGATTTCTCTACTGATAGACCATGAGCGCCATTCTTAGCTAACCATACACTATGTACTATCGTTATCGATTCACTTACATACTACTCTGGCATGGTTGGACTGGTATATCAAGACAGGTTCCGCTTGCTTACCTTCTCATGGGATTTTGCAGGGAGCGTCTGAATCAATTCTCGAGTCCATGGTTAGCCAATAACCAAGCGAATTCTATAACCTAGAAGGATACTGCGTGATCCTGAATTAAATAGTTGCTTGGGGTGGACATTCAGGGGTGCAATGTATGTTCTCATCATCGCCTTAGTCGGAACAGAGGCCAGGAGAACTGGCGAGCGTAGTGCCCAACTCGGACAAATAAATACTGACTGTATGACCATAATCCCTGAGCTTTACAGTGGCTCTGTCAACCCAAGCGTAGATTGGAGTCCGAGCCTCGTACTGGCAAGGCATGCGCAGCGAATGAATCACATGACCTGAATATTATTTGAGATTGTCTTGATCTTTACACTAGACAAGATTGCCGAAATTATGTCCGGCTTGAATTCACGACTAATCCAATGGACACTCATCCACTGAGAAAAAGGCCTCCCGTATGGATGTGCCTATACAGGATGCTTCCATGCTTTGATTACGCTCCGCTGCGGAATTAAGCTCGTAGACAAAAGTTGGCCAATCCCGTGCGTACGGAGTACAGTCAAACCCGTGGGCCGTGTACACAGATCGCTACCCTAAATAGATAAATATGAAGCCACGACAGCTGAAGGGTTTGACTTTTGACTCGGCACTTGGAAGCGAGCTAAGTTAACCTGACCTTTCCTATTCGACGGGTTTATATGGTCATCCATCAAGGAAGTTCTATGGTTCTAGATTCTGAGCTGATCTCTGCGCTTGTCAAATTTCCGTAGCAATGGAATTGTCTAAAACACTTATAAAAGCTAGAAATACATATCAGTTGAACAATTTTAGTAAACTCTAATAAATAGACATACTGTCGCAATTAGGAAAGGCCAGGTTGCCTCCGGTCCGGCTGACCCTAACAGAAATCTACGATCCCGCCCCACAGCAGCTGAACTACGACTTTTTGATTATAGATTCTATTAGCTAATTTTCACATCTAATGAGCCAATCATTGAGAGTATCTCTGGCGTTGTACCTTACCCTTCGGTATTTCTTGAAAGTCCGGAGCTGAACTAAAGCAGGGAAAAGGGGCGGTCAGATGCCCATCAGCTGCGAGGATGGGAGGGCCAACTCGGTGGAAAGAAGAAATCAGATAAGGTTATAATTCTTCAGTAAACTATGCTATACTATGTTCCCATCTCACTTGAGGTGATAGAAAAGCAGACATAGGTATGTCCAAAGGAAAGCTTTCGAGTTGTACGATCGATGAATCCAGCGGAATGGGTATATTGAAGCTCGGAAGCGCATGATGGAGCCAGACATTCGGCTCGATGTAGACACAGCGCTGTTCATCCACGTAATACCGCAAGGGTACCAGGCCTCTCGGAACCGCAACTTCGACATATGCCTTACCTGATCCTGCTTCCTGTTTGAGAGACCCACCTTGCTGTCGTGCAGTCTGAGGGATATTGACCCCTGTCCACTGTTGCCACTCTTCCACACGACCCTCAACACGCATACTCCTCCTTGCCACCTTGATCACCTTGCCCCCCAGCCGAGCATGCTTCCGCAGCCACGGATCAAACGGGAGGCTGGGGTCTGGCTTTCTCACTGTCATGCTAGGAGTGTGGTTTGCAACTATCGTCGCCCGCCATAAGACGTAATCCGTCATATCAGCCATGGGGAATTCTGATTTTCGTGTGGGCCGTAGTGGTACCACCATAGCGTCAAAGTTGCGCTCGATGACTGTTTGTTTCATGGCCATGATGAGCGCTTCTGCTAAGCCCCGAGAGGGATGTTCCGGGGAGACAGTGATGGAAATAGCGGACAGTGCGTTGGGCTGTTCTGTTCTGGCTGCGGCGGGATCGTTGAACGGGGCTGGTCTGTCTGTATCTGGGGCAATGCCTTCTCGGGCGAAGTGCTGTTCGAACCCTCGGGAGAGAATGGCATCATAACCTTCATCCGGGAGAGTATGCAATACTTTTGGGTGTTGGGCGAGAGCCATTTTTCCCCCGACTTTGGCTAGTTCAGGCCAGTAGAAGGGAATAGAACGCCCACAGGCGATAATCTGCTCTTCTGCGTAGTCACCAAGTTTGACAATGGCATATTGGAAGCAAGCAAATGCTTTGTTCTTGTTGAGTTGACTGCAGTAGTGTTGGAAGTAAATGTCCTGGTCGAGGAAGAGTGGCCAGGCAGCATTGAGTGGATGCGTTGGATCTTCGAGGACCTTCCAAAGATCCGGCCTATTCTGGGCAGTGTGAACGTAGAATTTATCCATCTTTCTGCTATCGGATTAACTGTAGATTGGAAATGATTATCAGCAGGAGATGAACGATAAAGAATGTTCACAACGGCAGGACGACACTTTCGAACAGGCTTAGGACAGCCGAGGAAAATGTCCAGAATCAAGACAGCCATGACTTGTTAGGCCGGATTGGTCTCCATTGCGCGAATTTACGAGACAGCCGAAATAAAGTGCAGCAGCTGAATGCAGATTTTCTTTTTGCTTTTTACAAATGGTAATAATTGTCTGTCGGCCCACTTGGGATGGCGCCGTGCTCCGTATATATCAATGGTGACCCCAGCTGAGGGTTGTTACCTGCAGGGTAAGTAGCCACCGGCAAGGATTATATCAAGGAGATTATCTTCCACGTGAAGGTCTCTTAACATCATTCTCTGACCTACTACCTCAACGAAGTTTGAGTGTAATTCATTTTGGCATACCACCGAGTCCCAGAATCATGGCAAAGTTATACGAAACCCCAGATCCAAAGCTAGACCATCTCAATCAGAACACACAAAATGGTATCCTGGCTCCTCAACAGCCCTGGGTTCCTCCTTTGTCTCTAACACCAAAGAGTGCAGGGTTGGAAGACCTTATGCCAACAGTTGACCGACTCTGCGAAACTACCGAAGATGATGTTGAGGATGTTTATCCTTGCACAGTCGTGCAAGAAGCTTTGGTGGCACTCTGTGAAGGACCCAGAATCTAGAGAATCATGACACGTTCGGAACGTACCCGGTCACTCTCGTTATAGAGCCGGCAGGGAATTCAGTCAGCGTGCAGGCTGTATACGACCACCATATCGTGCCCGATTGTCAGATGAAACGGCTGCTCCAGCAGCGTTCGCATATCATGAAATGGGTCAATCGCAGGGACAATGCGCGCGTCGGTGATATCGTTGGCTTATGTCCGCAGGATCAAGCCCAGCTGCAGATGTGGAATAGTCAAAGAGCGCCTGAGAATATCCAACGATGTGTTCACGACTTATTCTCGGAGTTGTCGCGATCTCAACCAGATGCTACTGCTGTCCGTTCCTGGGATGGCGAGCTCTTCTACAGCGAGCTCGAAGTCCTGTCAAATGGCTTCGCTGTGCAACTGATGGAAGATGGATACTAAGAAAGCTATGCCTCTTCGGTTCGAGCCTGTAGAATGGTCGGATGGGATGGATGTAAGTATTTACTCTATGACAGTGTTATTATCTTGAAGTTGACTTATTGTTATAGTTCGATATTGTATTTGAGATTAACGAATTCGAGGACGAGTTACAAGCGACCATGACATATTGGGGTGGCAGAGTAGAGGAGGAAATGGTTTCGAAGACTAGTAAGATGTTTACTGAACTACTTTTCGCGGTGATAAAGAATCCTGAGAAGGTAGTTGGGGATCTATTGTGAAAGAAACAAAGCGAGGAAGACATGCAAAAATTTCATGTTTCTACTTATCTATTTGGTAGTTATACACTCTCTGCCGCAGCAATATTACAATAATCTACTACGCTAAGACTTAATCTTTCTTTTGATAGTGTCTGAAAGTCCTAACAAGTGAATGTAACTAACTATTCATGAGAGGACATTAAATGATATTTACAACCTATATCGAATGTAAATAGACCCTCCTCGCTCTCTTACTAGCAGCAGTTCGTAAAGTTCTTAAGTTATAGTCAACATGGGCCAAAATTGTACCTTGAGTCTGGTCAACTTATGATTTCAAATTGCTTCGACCTATACAAAGATAGAGATAGACATATATATTTGCCATTACAGTGCCGGAGTATCCGCAAGGATATGGCTCATCATCCTGTGCGACCGGTTAGTGCTCATTCGCCAACTAGAAAGAAGGCAGTGGGGATGAAGAAAAACTTACCCTTCAGGGTACCGAGTACCAGGAACCTCTGCCCGCTTGATCAACTCTCGAATAGTGCGCTGCTCCTCGTCCGATAGTTGAATCTGCGCCGACGCAGCATTCTCATCCATACGAGCAATGGCCCTTGTCCCTGGGATGGGAATGATATCGGGACCCTGCGCGAGCAACCACGCGATCGCGATCTGGGTAGAAGTGCTATTGTGCGCCTTGGCCACATCGTTCAGTCCCTGCACTAGCTCCAAGATCCTGGGAAAGTTCTCCTCCGAGTACTTGGGGAAGAAGCGGCGGAAATCATTCTCGGGCAAGTCAGCCGTGGACTTGAATTGTCCGGTCAGGATACCACGGCCGATAGGGCTGTAGGCTACAACGGCAACGCCTAACTCCCGGCAGGTGTCCAGGATATCAGAGTTAGGCGACTCGATGTCGAGCGCGAAGGGGCTGTATTCTATCTGGAGAGCGGAGATCGGGTGGACAGCGTGGGCTCGACGCAGTGTTGCAGATGAGACTTCGGAGAGACCGATGTATCGAATCTTTCCTTCACTAAATGTTGATTTTGGGTCAGTGCCAGGTGTTCTTGGTTGCTGGGCTATCGAAACGGATGGCACCTACTTCTTTAGCTCAACCATTGCCTCGATGGTCTTCTCGATTGGTGTCACCCCATCAACTCGGTGACAATAGTACAGATCGATAGTGTCGACATTCAGTTTCTTCAGGGATCTCTCGCAAGCCAACTTGGCGTACTCGGGATCCGAGCTAACAGTCAACCCCTTCCCATCGAATGACTGAACAGCAAACTTGGTGGCGAGGAAAATATCGCTGCGCTTGCCGGACCGCTTAATCCATTCGCCCACGATTTCCTCACTGCTGAGGTACATGTCTGCTGTGTCCCAGAAGCGCTGACCAGTGGCATATGCGTGGTCTAGGAAAGCAACTCCTTCCTCGATAGAACTAGCAGCGCCGTAGATCCCGCCAATACTCATAAGGCCTAGGCCAACCGCGTTGACCTGGGGGCCGTTGTGGCCGAGTGTTCGAAGTGGAGGAGACATTGGTAGGTGCTTGGCAAAGTAAGTTATATAACGTGATATTAGCGCCGAAGGTGAGAGTCAAATATAAAATTGAGAATGTCGTCAGTGTGTGGGAGGTTAGGAACGAAGATGTCTAGCCTTTAAATACTCCTCCTGATATACGGTGTCCCGGATAAAGGATCACCATGGAACCGTATGGATCCTTATTTCCGAACCTTTCAATCATGGATGATCTCGAGCTTCTCTATCCAGATGCCATTCGGCGGACTTAAGCTTAAAGGCGTAGCCAATCATCACACTGCAGCAGCCGCTAGGTCCACTCTCTCGTAGAGGAACCAATCCAAAGGCAGAGTTTCCGAGCGGGCCAATTCGAACTAAGCCTTTACAATACCTTGAGGGCCTCTAATTCCGTTGAGTAGCCAGCTCTGGCCAACTGGCGCTTGCTCTCATGGAGACTTGTTCGTCATCCTAGCACTACTGAGAAGATTAGAACCATGTCCACATCAACTGGGCACACAGCACAGTCTACAAACAGAAGAAAAGTCAAAACAGGCTGCAAGACCTGCAAGTCAGTCATCTCCCGGCGCACCACCATCATCATCCGAGTTAGCCCGTTCAATCAGCTAACAACACCACCAGAGCCCGCCGTGTAAAATGTGACGAGAGTCGCCCAGCCTGTCGCCGCTGCATCTCTACCGGCCGCACTTGTGATGGCTACGGCATCTGGGGTGGCGGGGGGAGCCCATATGGCCCACCACAGATCAACAAGGCGCTATCCATCTACTGCACGCCGGTACCAGCCGGTTGTCTAACGCGGGAAGAACAGACTTGCTTCGACTGGTTCATGAGTAGAACAACAACAAAGTTTGCTGGTATATTTGCCTCACTGTTCTGGGAGACTCTCGTCTTCCAAGCCAGCGCGCAGGAACCCGCTGTTCGGCACGCCGTCGTCGCCTTATCAGCGGCTCATCGCTCTAACCTCAGCAGCGAATCTATGCCGACCATGTATGGCATGGATGCGGAGCGATTCACATTGCTGCAGTATAACAAGGCAATCCATCATTTACGCGGTGTAACGATGTGTGGATCATCCAAAAATGCCCTCCGCGTCACCCTTATTACTTGTATGCTTTTTGTCACACTGGAGTACCTGCGCGGTCAACATACAATGGGCAGTGCACATCTAGGGTACGGCATCCAGCTTCTGGCCAATGTTTCTGCGCCTGCGCCGCGTACTTCTATGGTGCCGAGTATACTTAATCCGGCGGAGGACTTTGTGCATGATGCCTTGGTTGAGTCGTACGCTCGTTTGACGATTCAATCGGCTATGTTCGGTCACGTCCCGTCACACCTTTGCGCGATTGTGCGAGATCCGCAGCTTCACGCCCTTCCTTATAGATTTTCCTCTCTTGCCGAAGCAAGACAGGCTCTCGATGATTTACTTACTCGAGTCCACTGTCTGGAACGACATATCTACTCACTCCCCGCAGACGATGATTCGGGAACAGACCCGCAAGCCTTCGAGACCCAGCGCAGAATTATGGCGGATTTATCGCTCTGGAGCAAAGCGTATAATGCTTCTTTATCTCTCCTCAAGACGGACGCCTGTAAGGAGACGATTGGTTTCCTGATTCTCCGGGTATACCATGGAATGGCTGTGGTCATGGCTTCAGTGTGCCTTTCAAATGAGGGGGAGATGGTATTCGATGCATACACGAATGGCTTCGTCACTATCATGACCGCCTTCTTTGATATGTGGCGGTTCTGGTCGACAATAAGTATCCCCATTAAGGAGCAGCACACGGGATTCCAAAATGGCAAGTCGGAGTGCAACGGCTATTCGTTCACCATTGAGTCAGGCTTCATCCCGCCAATATATTATACCGGGTTGAAATGTCGTGTTTTGAAGATTCGCCGGTTGGCGATCAGATTGTTGAGGGCGGCACCGCATCGAGAGGGTTTGTGGAATGGGCCACTGGTGGCGGACGTTCTGGAGGAGGTTATTCGGGTGGAAGAGGGCGGCCTCCACGTCGATGAATATCTAAAGCAAAATTTCGATGAGACATTTGGTGAGGCTGATTTTCACCTGGAGAAAGACGATTTGCCTTCGCCAAGTGTGCCGGCTGAGCGGCGGATTTCTGATGTTGAGATACTCCTGTCAGACGTTGTCGATGGGGACACATTTATAAATTATAGGCGGAAAGATGAAGATGGTCAATGGGCGACTTTTCATCGCAAGGTCAACAGGACGAGGGGACAGTCTTGGTTGATATTTTAGCACACAAGGGCGAAATGTAAATATTATTTAAATCAATGCCCCTCGTATTAACTGCAAGATTTGGTCCCAGGTGCCAGGGACGGATGTGATAGGTCACTGTTGGCAGGGAGAAATGACGGTGGAACACCACAGGTGTTTGCTATAGAGTGACTGGTGTTGTACATGAGTGCAGAAGCATTGCTTAGAGAGTGGAGCGATCTTGTCATGTAGCCACTCACAATGATAGCCTCGCATTTTTAGTACTTCTGCAGCATCCATGGGCCCATGTCTGACACCAGGCCCGTGCTCTCCTCAGTGAAACGAACATCTCCGATAATAGTTTATTGAAAAAGACAAGGTTGTTACCGTACTTGGAACAACCCCCGGCGACCCACTTCACCTATCTAGAAAGGGTATTGAAGTGAATCACATGGCGGTGTCCAGGCCTCAGACTGTTCCATAGCTCCACCGCTGCAATTATCCCAGGCTATGAGGAATTTGCGCGGTGGCCGCGATCTCGCAAAGAGGGAATTGCAGTTTCAGGTAATAGACCGGCTGCTGCATATGGTTGATCGTCATTATAAATGTAAGAGACGCTATACTTATAGTTCCATATGTTAAGGCATCTCGAATGGAATAGCTGTATAAGTCGTGGAAGCCAAGTAGCGACATGATTGGAAGTACCTACTTCAGGAGGTATTCGAGTAGAGGGGATATATCTCGTACCACAAAGCGATTACGATATACTAACTGGCCGCATGAGCTACCACAGAGCTTACACAAGCTAAAAACGATGGTCGCTACTCTGAAGGCATATATACGGAGTACTTTGAAGGATCGACTGTGGATTGAGTTCACAACGGTGGGCGCATATGTCCTCTCATCGACAGCGGGAGAAGACCTCTTTCCCACGTATAACAAGCTATTGCGAAATTGTAGCGAGTGATATCCGTGGGTGTTCTATGGCCACTTATGCTGTCGTTCTCCTTCCTGGCATGGTAAGATATGGCTGAGTGAGCCAAGGTGATTTTGAAGCCACTGCCATCATGAGATCGAATATGATTCATATCGATAGTAGTGGCTGTCTTGGAGAAAGAAGGCTGGGGTCACTCTGGTAGAGACACAATATTTGATCAACGGCGTACTCCCTTGACAGTCTGTTGCTGTCAGATATCTGTTGTATGTCAGTGACCGTGGAATGACCATTGAGCAAGGACTTCTCTGAAAGCTTTCTCGCGAAATTGATATGGGTCGGACTACCTAGTTGTTAATTTGGGGGGATACATATTAAGTGAGCCTTGCTACATGCAAAGACACACTGAACTACCCACACACTTTGCTAAACGAAGGTTATGAATAATTATCAGTGAGGCATTGCCACGTCAGAATCGTGTTTTTAAATGGCACGGGCCGCCCGGCTATGTAGGCTAATGCTTGCATACAGTCTATGGACGAACTCCATGAACCCTATCGAAATTTCCCAGCAAAATTAGGTTAATTGGTGCTGGCAAATATCATGTCAGATCGAGAGTCACTATTATCAGGACTCAGATCTGGAAGCCTGCCTGTCTGGCATCTTTATGGGTCTTCCAGCCTAAAAGGCCCCACCTTTCTTCATGCATAAATGTCACGCTAGGTTAAGTAGTGATTCACAAGAGCCAATGTTTGTGACTTATTCACATCCCCACTTTCAGCTGAAAAGCACGTTAGGGCTATCAGTACAACTCCAGACACGTATCACGCATATCCCTGCAGGATGCATTCCGTAATTCCTTTCATTTAATTTGATTAACTTTTTTAGCTTGTAACGGACTAAACTGGAGCCCATGTCTCTTTCTTTCAAAGTTTTTCTCCCCATCTGCACATGAGAGGGTTGACTCCCTACTCGCAACGTCAACTTGACGATCGCCACACAACTCACCTCTTACACCAACGTCATAGTTTACCTGATTTATAATGACACGCATGGGTGGAATTTGGGAAGTATCTTCTCGAAGTGAGCTGCGCATGCCTTTGGACTGCCGTGGCAATGATCCACGATGTGTGAGTGTAGTAGGAGGGCCCACCGACCAATTATTAGTCTGATGGTACCTCGTCGAAGCATCATGATAGCAGGGATATCAATAGTTGGCTGCAGATGCATACGAGCATTCCTGCGACCCCTCACGTCACGTTGCCACGCTCTTACAGTCTTCCGTAGTATCCGTATGTATTTAAACAGGGCTAGGTGCGATTTTAGACTGTTTCTGAGCTATGATTTTGCAGTGCCCCGATTAACCCTATAACTACTACTATCAGAATATTTAAGAACTCCCATCAACTTTAACCCATGCCAAAGTTAATATGGTGTTTTTACATTGGATCACCATCACCATTGGAGTCCTCACGGCATACGTTCTGACTAAACTCCTTACATTTAAGAAACCCCCAGCGCCTCTACCCCCCGGTCCTCCTCCCAAACCACTTATTGGTAACCTGAAAGATCTGCCGCAAAATGGAGAGAGGGACTGGGAGCATTGGCTGAAACACAAAAAGCTTTATGGTAGACTCACACTAACTGGGATACTATAGCATGCCCGCTAACTTGACATTGGCACAGGGCCGATTAGCTCCATCACTGTGCTAGGTCAAACCTTTGTCATTCTCAATGACCCAAAGCTCGCCGTCGAGCTCTTCGAGCAGCGGTCCAAGTGGCATTCGGACCGGCCTAAGATGTTCTTTGCGACCGAAATGTGTGTGCAACAATATATTATTCGTCGTCCATCTCGATCTGCTAATAACGAGAATGCAGGTCCGGAACTGGGGGCATCCTGGGAATGATCCCCTATTCTGATCGCTCCAAGGCAATCCGCAAAGCCATGAACAAGGAGATTGGATCGAAGGTAGCTGTTTCTCGTTTTAATGGGCTGCAGGAGGCTGAGACGCGTCGCTTTTTACTACGGGTGCTCGAGGCGCCGGAGGATCTGAGAAACCATATTCGGAAGTAAGTTTGAAGCGTTTATCGTTTTCGATAGAACCGGCCTGGCTAACAAGATTGGTAGAGAAGCTGGCGCAGTTGTTCTTAAACTTGCGTATGGGTACACGGCCGAGCCCCACAAACAGGATCCGTTGGTTGATTTGGCAGACGTGTCTATGTATTACTTTTCGCTGGTTTGTCGTTATGGAGCTTGGTTGGTGGATGTGATTCCAAGCTGTACGGATCATTGCCTTGTCAGCCTTACCTTCAGTTCCTGCTAACCGCCCTCCTAGTGAGATATCTCCCTTCTTGGCTTCCGGGAACTGAGTTCAAACGCATAGGCCAGAGGTCCAAAGAGGCTTTTGATAACTTTGGAGGGAAACCATATAATTTCGTGAAGCAACAAATGTCGCAAGGCATACATCATCCATCATATTTGTCAAGCATTCTAGAATCTGAAGATATAGAGCCTGGCTCCGAGAAGGAGTACGTGACAAAGTGGTCCGCAGCATCGATTTATGCCGGCGGCGCTGACACGGTACGGACCATCTCAATGCAATGATATACACGAGTGAGAGCTAACCGAAGCACAGACAGTGTCCACAATGGCATGCTTCTTCCTCGCCATGGCGCTGTATCCTGAGGCCCAGAGAAAGGGTCAGGATGAGATCGATCGTGTTGTCGGAAACCACCGTCTTCCCACCTTTTCCGACCGGGATAATTTGCCTTACATCAACGCCATGGTGAAGGAGGTCCTCCGCTGGCACCCAGTTGTACCGACCAACTTGCCTCATGTTTCTACCCACGATGATATGTGTCAAGGATATTTTATCCCGAAGGGCTCCATAGTTCTTGCTAATATCTGGTTCGTTCACCCTTTCCATATGTCTACTTACGACGTCTAACATACTACACACAACAGGGGGTTTACACACGACCCAGACGTCTTCCACGAGCCTATGGCATTCAAGCCGGAACGCTATCTAGGCGAGAGCCCCGAGCCGGATCCCCACAGGCTCTCGTTCGGATTCGGCCGTCGAATCTGCCCCGGTCGCGTGATGGCAGATGCGGCCATCTACCTGAATCTTGCACAGTGCTTGGCGGCCTTCAATATTACCAAGAAAGTCGTCGATGGAAAGGACGTGGAGCCCCGAGTGGAATTTCAGGCTGCGCTTATCAGTCACCCGGAGCCATATGATGTGAGCATTAAGGCTCGGAGCTCGGTGCATGAGGAGCTCATTCGCGCGGTGGAGATAGAATATCCTTGGGAGAAAAGCCATGCGGATGAGCTTGCTAATATCAAGGCATAGATGTTTTATGGATGATTGCATGCGACTGTCGGCGTTGAGAGGAGCTCGAGCAAGGGGTGCTTGTCAGTTTTACTATGTATTTAAGATGTTGTTTAGCAGTTCGAATCGACATGAGCATACCTTTTCATGCTCCTGTCCTGGAGATGCCAGACAGATTCCCACCCACTCGCGCTTCAACTCTACACCTCACCGTGCGTGAAGCGAGACACTGAGAAGTAGGGATGCAACCCCCCATCAAATCTATCATATAAGTCCTCACGATTCTAGATCTGCCGCAATGGATGGGAGGGGGAATGTAGTAGCACTATGAGATTTTCGACGGTGTCATCCTCGTCACTAAAGAGAGTTTCTGGCACTATGTACCCCGATAAGGTGATGCCATGCCAATGAAGGATATCAGAGTTGTCGATATTCATCTACAGTAGCTCACAAAGCAAGGGGCTCACCCAATAAATCTGGATAAAGACCATATTTTATAAAGGATTGCCCCTTATGGTTCATCCGATAACTGGCAGATAGCAAGAAAGCGTATCATTTATACGGTAGCAACATGGAAAAAAGTCCTATATTGCACGATTATCTTCCTTCCGACATTCATCGTGCTACTTGCCCTTGGGTATGTAAGAATTACGCGGGTAGCTTTTACTGGGTGGATTGAAATGTGACGGTGTACTCCGGGTGCAGGTGTCTCTAATGGAAGAAGGGAAAGAAGCCTTTTAGAGATTTATATACCAGCTATATAATGACACTCTCTGGATCTCGTGTAAAACTGTTTCAGGGCGAAAGTCGGCACTTGGCCATTCGGGGGTTTTCCGGTCTTCGGATACGGACACGGAGCCCCGCCGACAGGCTCACGTTTTCCCCGGTTCCTCAGCCGACTTTGTGGGGGTTCATTTGAACCTACTCGTTAATGGAGGGGAATTGCTGGTTGCCCGTGGTGCCACACGTGATATGGGTCGACTCACCTGGGGCAAGGTCAAAATCGCTTATCCGGAGTCAAAAGTGACTGGACATACTTTGCAAACGGACACAAACTCCGGTGAGGGCTACATTCCCCCAAACGACACTGAAAAGCTGGGGCTTAATGGTGGATGACTCAGGACCGTCCCCGGAAATTGCTGTTGAAGCTTTTACACAATAATGGAACAAGGTACTGGCGTAAGGGGGATGCTGAATCTATCCAATCACGGCCCCGCCAAACATGCGTGTCGGGAATGCCGACGACGTAAGTCTAAAGTAGGTCCACGATGGTTAAATCCCGTCCTCCTGTCTTAGCAATTGCCGCGACCCAAGGATCGCGGGCTGCAGACCGGACTCATGCATGGCAATACTCTAAACTCGTGCTAGTGCGATCGTCTCGTGCCAAGTTGCTCGCTATGTGACAAGTTTAATCGGCGATGCCTTTACGAAACGTTGTCGAAGACCCCGTTAACCAGGCAATATTTGACTGAGGTCGAAGAGGAATTGACACGGACCAAGGCCCTACTCTCTGAGCTTCTGCCTGGGCCTAGCCATGGCATTGCGAATGGCGAACGATTTACTTATCCTGAGCAGGATAGGGCCGGTGACCGGGGTCTGACGTCCGAAATCCCTAACCGCGAGGGATCATCAGAGCAGCCGGAGAGAGCGTATGTACCCCACAACAATATCGGGTCCGAGACTATTCCTGCTCCGGAGGTCCCCAACCAACCCTCGCTGGGCGTCTTCAGCGCTTCTTCGTCCACCAGTGGCCAGCTGTACGATTACTCGGCAAGGTGCCAGACAGGGATTTCCCACCGGGCCAATCGCCGAAGCCAAGACGCCGTAATGTCTATGGAGACGCCCCCGTCCGCCGGCAATGTCAACTTCGAATGGGATGAACGCACGGAGGACCAGGGTGGTGATGGGTTTGTGGATGGCATGGCTATTCTCCCTAGCCGTTCTAATGACAGTGGCTATTTAGGTAAGCCTTTCGACTCCAAACTTCGCTAATATCATTTGTTACAGAGATGACTGACTCCCAAGTAAGGCACCGCTTCTGGTGCTGCATTACTGCGAATGACTAACTCTCAATCTGGAGGGGAAAGACTTGACATGCCGGACCCTGGTCGCCCATTTGAAACAGCATCTTCGCACCAGTCACCAAGCGTTCCGTTCGCCTTGAGTTCTCTATCTCAGCTAGAACCATTTGTCGATGCTTACTTTTCCCTTTATCATTGCTCGTACCCCATCATCCATGAAGCAACATTCCGTGCACAGTTCATGGAGGTCATTCCCCGGCCAACCAACACTACCTGGCAAGTGCTGTTATATGTGGTAGCAGCCTTGGGAGCTTTTACAGCTGCAGTGACGCCGACAGATGTGGATTTGGCCTTGTTCAAGGCAGCAAAGGCCCGCCTGACGATCGATGTACTGGAAACTGGCAGCCTAATTTTGGTGCAAGCATTGACCCTGAGCTCAAACTACTTGCAAAAGAGGAATAAGCCAAACTCTGGGTATAACTATCTTGGGCTCGCTCGGAGAACGGCAATGGGGATCGGGTTGCACAAAGAGTTTCCCACTTCAAAAGCGTCTCCACTGGCAATGGAGGTGAGACGGAGGGTTTGGTACTGTCTCTACATCTTTGATGTGGGCGCAATTATCACCTTCTCGCGGCCCTTGGAATTTCCAGAACAGGGAATTGAGACTCGCCTGCCATTAAACATCCATGAAAGCGTAAGTGTTCATTAGCTTACAATCTAACGAGTCCAATGCTAAGACCTCAGTAGGGTATTACCGCCAGTACACAGGCTGTCCCATCCCCAGTAGCTGAAACTACTGTGTACACACACCTGCGGGCGCAAGCAATGTTCCATTTGAAGACCAACCTCATTTATACCAAGATCACTTCGACCTCATTCCCATCTGCGGCTGAGCTTATTGAACTAGATGACCGTCTCATTGGCGACTGGTTGGCGTCCCTTCCGTCCTTTTTTAACGAGGAGGCCATCCAGGCACCGAAATTTGCTCTTTGTCATTCAATCCTGAGATGGAGATATCGTAATCTCCGCATCCTGATGTACCGACCATTTCTGGTGGGCAAGTGGATGCTCAACTCCGACCAAGGCCCGGACGGCCTCCGTGAGAAGGATGATACCCATGTAGAACTTGCCATTCAACGATGCTTCGATGCCGCCCGCGAGTCTGTTGAGCTTATCTCATCGTTCTGGGCACAACATCAGAAAACAACTATGGCCTGCTGGTATGGAGTCTACTTCTTGTTCCAAGCGATCCTGATCCCTGTGATCTGCTTGCGGAACAATCCGTCAGATCCGGCCGCCCATGGTTGGCGTGAACAGATTCTCCAGGCAGTCAACACGCTCGAATCAATGGCGCCACTCAATGCGAACGCTGAACGATTTCTTAGAGTCATTCAATCTCTGTGTGGCTGTTATCTCTACCCTCGCAGCAGTGGCTGGGAGGGGCCAATCCAAGAGTCACCTGAGACACAGATCGCTAACCTATATCCTCTTATGTGGCCCACATTAGAGATGGCACAGCTTGATGGCGTGGATTCTGCTTTGTAAGTCGCCTTACCCACACGATTGTCACCACACACTAACACTCTGTGCCTCCTTCCCAGGCAACAATCTGTGATAAGCGACTTCATGCACCAGGTGACTGGCCTTCAGTGACAGTGATAATAATATTCACGATGAGTTGTTACCTGGACTGGTCTAATATGCAGCTGGTAATGCACTTTATTTCATCTTTTTCTCATTCATGTACATGACGTTCATTAACTGGAAATTATTAGGGAAGGGTATATCCGCCATCGATCACTAGGTTCGCTCCTGTCATATAGCTCGACGCGTCCGACGCACAGAATACATAGGCCTACGGGGATTCGTGGTTAGCGATAAGCACTACAACATATACCCTTGGAATGGGACATCTTACCCCCTTCAACTCGTATGTTCCAGCCATTCTGCGGGCTGGGATCATGCTGAGCCACTTCTCGCGTAGCTCTGGCGGGTGATGATCCAAGATTTCAGTCGCGACGAAACCAGGGGAGATGCAGTTCACGCGGCAGAAGTCCACCCACTCAACAGAGAGGCATTTGGCCAGCTGAACAACTCCAGCCTTTGAGGCATTATACTATGACGATATCTGTCAGAAAGCGCTGTTGGATAATCTAGTACCAACGAGGTACCGTTTCGCGTATGCTCAACTTACCGCGGCTTGCTTCTGGGGCACATTGACCAACGCTGCGCTAACAGATGCGGTGAAAACAATATTGCCGAATCCTTGTTTCTTGAACACTCGAGCTGCAGCCTGGGCCGTGTAGAACGCGCCGTCTAGGTTCACATTCATGATTTGTTGCCACTGCTCCGTGGTATAGTCCTCAGCGGGGACTGCGGTGGCGATGCCAGAGTTGGCGACCATGATGTCCAGCTTGCCAAAGTCCCGAACAATGCTCTGGACGGCCGCCTCGATCTCCTTCTGGTCGCCCACATTGGCCTGGTACGCAGCGACTCTCACATCGTGGGCCTTGGCGATAGAGGCCGCTGTGCTCTCGGCTGTGCTGGAGGAGTTATAGATAATTGCAACCTGTTGAAGGACCAGCGTCAATATCACTATAATCAATAACTAGATCATAGGTTTGAGAATACGTACATCGGCACCAGCCTCCGCTAACCCATTGGTGATCTCCAAACCAATACCCCTTGTACCACCTACAATCCAAAGCAAATTCATCAGTATCACCATCGTAAGAAATAGATCACCCAAGCCCAGACCTACCGGTCACAATAGCCACTTTCCCCTTCAGGCTAAACACCTGCATGACATGCTTGTTTTCGGGCTGCGCAAGAACCATATTGGGAATCTTCAAGAATCCGTCTGGTTCACATATAACAGTAATTCAACTAAAGAGAAGTACAGATTTGTACCCTTAGATATACTCTAACACAATATATCCAATCCAAACCCTAACCTTATCAAAGAATATATACCTTCTAACCGTATAGTCCTGCTGCAGTGGGGAGATAACGATAAAGATAATTAATCGCGCGGCGGTTCCACCCCCATATCGGCATACCTTAGGGCCCGGCCGGTATCACCACTCCGCACGGAGACCCCGCTCCGTGGGAATATGGGGTTCGGAGGACGGGCCCGTCATTCCACTATCATTATTACTTGGACCAGTAGGGCCAGTAGTGCATTTCATTGGTAGGCCTTGGTTCTTGTTGCGTCATTGTACATGAGCATGAGTATGAAGATTTGTATGGCAAAGACATCAGGGCGTTCTGGACAACCGTTTCGGCCCTAGGAAGGCGTCCCTTTCCTCCCCTTCACAAACGCAGAAGAGAGTAACCCCACCATCAGTGAGAGGTCTAGTAGAGAGACATAGACTGGAGTAACCTCGACTAAGGCCTTAGTGAGCACATTGACTCCATCATCTCACCCACAACCCCAGAAGAAGTTGTGCAACTCGAGACGTGAGAAGAAGTAAGTATAGGAACAACTGAAGGGGAGATAGATTCTTTTTCTGGACAGGTAATATTTTGTAATACTACGTAGCATGCGCACTGTAGTGGAATTGGAAACTGCACACCAAAGAAGAGGGTGCCAGGCATAGGTGTTGTTGAAAGTATAAGGGCTATACTGGCTGATACTTGTGACAACCACTATACATATATCACTGATTTACGTATACAGGACAAGAGTCTAATATCTGTGCCCTCAGATGAGACGATCGATACTACTACCTCTCATACTCTATTATACTGTTTCCGCGACAGAAAGTTCACAATCTATGATGCCAGGCAGATGGGACATATTCATTAGTCTATCCGATAGCGTGTCTACCTCTAGTAGACAGATTTCATCTAGACACTTTTGGGGCCTAGGCCAGTGGTGCCGGCAGGCGGTTCTTCTCCTCCCTTGCCTTTCAAAGTTAGGCGCTACTTGTAGCTGGACCGAGTGTATATCTGGAAGCATCTATACGATATTCAACCATCCATGTCGCCAAATTCCATGATTATAATTGAATGTATCTATAGGATCCACAACGCTAAGAGCCAAGGATCACTGCTCCCTACTTTGTTGGTCAGGTGTCCCGTTAATGACCAGGTCTGCGGGAAGACGCTTCTCAGAAATAGTCTGCCCATTGAGGAAGTCGTTTTGATCCACCCTTCTAAAGCCATCCTCAAGAGTGGGTTCGATTCCCGCCTGAACATGTCGCTTTGCAACACGCCCCCTAGCTACCTGGAGATCTGCCTCCACGAACACACGATAGTCGACCATGGATGCGATGTCCCGCCACTGCGGCTCGTCTAACAGCAAGTAGTTACCCTCCAGGATAAGGATGGACGTGTCTGGAGTGATGGAAATACCGTCGGTGACGGGATCCTTCTTCTCATGGTCAAATGAGGGTGCATGTAAAAGGTCCGAAGAGGAAGGAGATGGAGGTGGAGTAGACTGATTGTGAGAAGGGCTCGTGTCCTTCTCTGCCCACTTGCGCAGCTTCTGGACGAACTTTATGAACCCATCCACGTCGAAGGTCCATGGAGCTCCTCGCCGGACATAAGCCTCCTCTCGATTCGGAAGCTGGTCCAGCTCTGCGCGTGACAGATGGAAGCCGTCCATTGGGACACACACGGTGTGACGACGGATGTTTGCCGGCATTGCATTTAGACGCTCAGTGAGTGCATTTGCCAACGTGGTCTTTCCAGACCCTGGGGCCCCTGCAATTGCAACAAGGAATCTAGGTTTGTCGTGTACGATGGCGCGGCTATAGATTGATTCCACGACTTGTGCGTATACGGCGTCCATGTTGGAGCAGAGTTGGGACAAGTCAAACAATTACAAATAGAGCGACCTATTTGTATATCAGTCTCTATCCTTCTTACATTCAAGAAAGCAACATACCGTTGAAAAAGCTTGGTGGACGTTAGTAGAGAGAAATACTGATTGTACCTATTCATCAAAGGTTCAAAGTAAACGGCGAGAACCACGGGAACAGACTCGGGATTCTTGCTCCGCTTTTAGGTGCAGTCGGTCCTTGAATAAGGCAACATAAGCTGAGCTCCCGCGGATCACAGTCGTCCGGCAATGTCAGGATTCCGGGGTTACCTCCTAGTGGAGACCCTTTCAATTGGGTGTCGAGGTCGCATGTGGAGCTGCTAGCCCTGTATACCAACTCATCTCGCTGAATATGAACCGGAAAGGGTGCTGAAGATCACTCCTCCCAGTTGATGCCAACATAAGTAGAGCCGCTCAATAGTGACCGGTATTATTCACAGACTATGAAATACTTTGTAATGCTACAAGATTTGGGATGACTTTATTTGGCGTTTTTCAATTTGTCAATAACCGATTATTTCTCATTTTTACAGTTCGTTAAACTCCATTGTCTTGTTCTACCGGCCCTGATACCCCTCGATAATCACTTTGATGACACTCTCCTTCCCTTGCCTAACCAGCTCAAAGGCTTGCTCTGCCTCCTCGAACGTATACCGGTTAGTAATGAGACGCTTGACATCCACCTTTCCACTAGCAATTAGGTCCACGGCGGTCGAATAGCAACCAGTACTGTAACGAATAGACCCGCGGATAGTCAAGTCGCGAATACATGCAGTTGTGATGGGGAACATAACGTTCTATTGAAACATGTTATGTTAGCCTACGCTTCCTAAGCCCCATAGCAACTGTCAATTGTATGGTATCACTCACCTCACGGCCCATTCCAGCCTGAACATAAGTACCGCCCTTCTTCGTCAGATGGATTCCAGTCTGAATACAAGGCTGTGCGCCAGTAGCCTCGAGCACAACATCCGGGCCCTCGCCCAAGTCAAACTGCTCTTTAATAATCTTTGCCAACTTCTCACTCCACTCCTCGGGAGTCACATCAGCCGGAGGCGGAGGGGGAACAAAGACATCGTCTGCGCCAAAAGTCTTCGCAAATTCTGCACGAGACTTGCTAATGTCGATACCGATGACCTTCTTGGCGCCGTATGCCTTGCTGACAGCCTGGCAGAGGAGACCAATGGGGCCGCAGCCGAAAACCACAATTTTCTGGTTCGCCCTTACATTTCCAACCTTGGTAATCTGGCATGCGACGGCCACTGGCTCGACCATGGCGCCTTCCTCCATGTTCATATGATCGGGGATTGGGTAGCAAAAATCAGATTGGGTGATGTAGTATTTCGACAAGGTTCCATCGTGGGGAGGTGTTGCTGCGAAACGGTCGTTCGGACAAAGGTTGTACGAGCCACCGTGGCAGTACTCACAGCTAGATTATTCATTAGAGACAATTGGCTGTTATTAAAAGGATCAAGGACACGTACTGTCTGCAGGGAATACCAGGCTCGATGGCCACACGGTCGCCAACCTTCAGGTTCTTGACGGCCGAGCCAACTTCCATAACAGTGCCTGAACTTTCATGACCGAGAACGATGGGGCTTGTGAGGACGAAGTCTAGATGTCATTCATTAGTCGACTTTCGCTTTTAAGTGGGTTATCGGTTTATCATGACCTACCGCCGATTCTACCTCTTTGCCAGTAGTGCACATCGGATCCGCAGATACCTGTTTGCGCGATCTGAACGCGCACATCCCAGGGGTCCTGGAGCGCGGGGACTGGTCTATCTTCGAAGGCGACATCCTTAACAGCCTTCAAGACGAAGGATGGGTTTGAGTCTTGCTATTTTTCCGACATGTCACATTAGCAAATCTTTCCTCATAACTACACAAGAATACGCAAAGTATAACTTACCGCCATGATGAATCTATGGAATATGGAATCGTAGAACTCTGAACTGACGCTCGTACTTCAGAAAATTTCCAAATAAAGACTCCTTTTCGACGAGAAACTATCTCATGGAAATACCAAATTCCTATCTCCTGATATATACACCACAAAAACATACATCCATGTCTACCCCGCCAGATGAGCTCCCAACCCCACCCATCCACATCGACGTAATGCCGGGCCGGGCATGGCAGCCCGCCAATACCACCGCCCAGGGGGAATGTTGGTCCGGACTCCAGGCCCCGACCCAAGGACCCCAGCCCGTCCGAACGGAATGGGGCGTCCGTCTCGGCTAGACCTCCTCGGACGGTGGGCTCACGGACACGAAATATATCCCGAATTCAGACGGTCCATGGTTTTGTTCGGCACGCACGGATTATTTTGTGGGAGTGCTCATGTCAATGTCAGTTGAGGTCGATTGGTGTTGCTCCACTTGTTGTTTTGATCTTAGCTTGTCTTGGAAAGTATGTCCGGCGTTGGGGGGGTGGTAGGATTCTATCAGTAGTGGTGGTACTTGAGTTCATATTGAGTATGTTTGTCTCCAATGTTAGTATAACTAGAGCAGTATGTGTTTAAGATGTGGTGCTCTGGAATTGTAGTGAATTAAACAAAAGACTAAATGTATGAGGTAGGCATAGGTCCCTTTGCTCGAGATATATATTTGCGGAAGCAAAACAAGCTATAGCAACGTAAGATAAAAAACACCAAAATGGACCATTGAAAAGAAACGACAAAAGATCTAGAGCCGAGAACGTTTAAAGAAAGAGCATAAGGAAACTATACTTTAAGAACTACATCAAATATGTTGTGGGAAAAAAATGGTATTTCATAGCTATACTCATAACAACGTACTAATAAACATGATGCAAAAACAAGGCGGCACCATTGATTGCATCCCAAATGCCTCAATTGAAACCCACAAATCAAAACCCTTTTCACCAGATCTATATGCTCTAAAATTGAAATCATCAAAAGGAAACAAAGCATCTACCGGCAAGTGTAGCCACCATCGACAACAATATCCGAACCCGTGGTGTAGGTGCTTGCATCGCTGGCAAGATACAGATAGACCCCCTTAAGCTCTCTGGGATCAGCATCACGCTTCAATGGGGTGAGACTGTACCATTCTTCCTTCATCTCGAATGGACAGTCGCCACTGATGGGGGTGTCGATGTAACCCGGGCTGACAGAGTTTACCCGAGCGAAACCAGCCCACTCGACGGCCAAAGACTTAGCCAGGTGGATAACACCAGCCTTGCATGCGTTGTAACAGGCCTAGAGAGTATCAAATCAATTTTCTGTGCCGACTTAAGGGCTGGTGAGAGATAGAATGAGACATACCTGCTGCTGAGGGACATTAGCGGCATGGCCCGACATGGAGGCAGTAAAGATCATGTTGCCTGAGCCCTGCTTGCGGAAGATCTCTCCAGCAACACGCGCACAATAGTAGGCACCCGAGAAGTCAATGTCCACCACGCGGTGCCAGTCCTCAAGACGGTCATCGAGACCGCCTGCCTTGGAGGGGATTCCGGCGTTGGCAATCATGACGTCCAGACGCCCGAAGTCAGCAGCAACGGCCTGGGTAGTAGCTTCAACCTGTACGATATGATGATTAGCAGCGAATGATAAAAGGGCGATGCGATAACGACGGTAGTGTGGCTGCATACCTCATTAAAGTTCTGGACCGAGCATTTGTACGCCTTGCACTTCACGCCGAAGTCCTTGGCAATTGTGGCAGCCCGTTTATCGGCCTGGCTGGAGTTGTTGTACCAGAGGGCAACATCAGCACCAGCTTCAGCTAGTGCCCGACCGACTTCGTAGCCGATACCACCCGAGCCACCAGTAATGATAACGACCTTGCCGTGCATGTCGAACATCTTGAAGACGCTGTCCGGCAGCGTGGGGTTAGGCCAGCGGATACTCTTCTGTACAGAACCCATTTTGTGAGGTATATTGAACGTCAGAGTTAAGCAGGAATTTGATACAATGCGTGCTCAAAGAGAAACAGAATTAAAAGTATTGGCCTTCAGGAGTGTGATATCTCTTGACATCCATCTGGTCTCAGTAAGATATTTTATACCCTCCATCTTTCCCCAAGGTTCACGGCAACGGCTACCAGGACTGTGAAGTCCATCGCGGACTCTGAATCCATATCTCCCACTTCGCATGTCACTGTCCGTCACCCCGTACCCATGACCCACGCGAGGAAACTCTGTAGCATAGTCAGGATGGCATTTCCCATATCATGCGAGACCGGACATGGTAGTCCGCTGGAAACGGCCCCGCTTGCCCGCTCTATCTCTAAGCTCGATTCGGCCATAGACACGAGTCAAGCCCCACGCCTGTTCTCGGCACCGAAAAAGGCTCAAATAGCTCTACTAGTAATGCTTTAGCCGGTTTACCCCCGCATGCTGCCACCAGTTAAACTTTCTGGGGTAGTCCTAGCCCCGGTCACGGGATATGACCAACCCTGAGCCTGCCGTATCAGCGACCTTGGATGGAGATGGGGCCATCCCTAGACAATGTCTTGGTCAATGATGTAGCCTCCATTCGTTTATTTATATACCCGTAAATCGGACTAGTTCGCGCACGCAGTATATGAACCCGACCCTTGTCTGGCTTCGCATCACAACTATTAGGCCATCATGAAGGACCAAGATATTGTTGGAGAGGCGCTCGCTGCCGTCCTCCCCCAGCATGGCAAGCCCTGGTTCAGGGTACCCCATCTTCTGAAGCTCAATCTCATCCTGCTGGTTCCATTGTTATCATCGGCTGTTGCAGGATACGATGGTACGTGCCAGATTGCTCTCTTGGTGGTGTAAGGCAACTAATTCAGGGGGTTGCAGGTTCGCTGATGAACGGATTACAATCTATCCCTGAATGGAAAAGATATTTCGGAAACCCAAGTGGCTCTACTCTGGGTGTTGTGAATGCAGCCCAATCCATTGGAAGCGTGGTGTCCTTGCCGGTCGTCGGATGGTTTTCTGACCGATTAGGCCGACGCTTGACACTGTTGTTGGGTGCATTAACCATCGTGGTCGCATCTGCAATTCAGGCTGCCTCTGTTAACTATGGCATGTTCGTTTTTTCACGAGTCCTCGTCGGTGTGGGATCTATGCTTGTTGTTCAACCTGCACCCATGCTCATCACGGAGTTGGCATATCCCACCCATCGTGGAAAGTATACTAGGTATGTCATTCTAAAAGAAGAACAAAAGATTGATGCATCGTGGACTGACACGGATGCCTCCATCAATAGTGCCTTTTGGACAATGTATTACTTGGGTGCCATCCTGGCCTCGTGGACATGTTACGGGACACAGAGAAATATGACAGACGACTGGACATGGAGGATACCATCTATCATCCAGGCAGGGTTCCCCATTGTCCAAATATTGTTCTGGTGGTGTGTACCGGAATCACCAAGGTATGGCTCTCGTGGCTGTTACAGTAGCCCTCTACTGGTCTAGTCATCCTAGGTGGAATAAGGAGCGCTGGTTCTAACAATCACGTCAGATGGCTCATTGCGAACGATCGACGTGAAGAGGCAGAGGTATTACTCGCCCGTTTCCACACTGATGGAGACGCCGGTCACCCTTTGATTCAATTCGAAATGTCAGAGATCATTCATACTCTGTCGATGGAGGCTCGAGCATCTCAGGTACCATGGTCGACTCTGGTTAAGACGCCTGGAAATAGAAAGAGAACATTCATTGCGATCTGCGTCGGAGCCTTCGCTCAGTGGAATGTAAGTTAATCCGTTATCTCCTGCCATCTTAACCCGACCCACACTAACCACGGTTTCCTTGCATAGGGTGTCGCTGTCGTATCGTATTATCTCACTCTCGTCCTCGACACCGTCGGAATAACCGATTCCGACACACAAACCCTGATCAACGGTCTGCTACAAGTCTTCAACTTCATCGCAGCAGGAAGTGCAGCCTTGTTAGTAGATCGGCTTGGTCGACGAACGTTGTTCCTTTGGTCTGCCGCGGGAATGCTAATCTCATTTGTGATATGGACCGCCTGCTCTGCTGTCTTCGACACTAGCCAAGCCGCCCCGCTCGGCAATACTGTGATTGCCTTTGTGTTCATCTTTTATTTCCATTACGACATCGCATACACCCCTCTTCTGTTGGGTTATCCTACTGAGATCTTCCCTTACTCAATCCGAAGCAAGGGCGTGACGACAACACTGTTGTCCGTGTACTCCTCGCTGGTTATCCTTGCGTTCGTCAACCCAATTGCGCTGGAGAACATCGGGTGGCATTATTATATCTTCTTTTGCTGCTTTGATCTCCTCGTTCTTGCTGTGACTTTCTTCATGTTCCCCGAGACAAAGGGTCACTCCCTTGAGGAAATTGCGCAGATTTTCGACGGACCATCGGCGGGAACGGGTGAGCTTGAGGTCGGCAAGAAGGATTATGACGAGACCATCACACGGGAACACGCCGAATATGCTGGCTAGCGGCCTGTCACTCCCACGGGTTAACTCGTTTGTCAACTGGCGGTAAACCCAGTCTCAGGACTCAAGCAATCGGTAATGGGCGTTCGTCGTTTTATTTTGATAGCGGTGTATTTTCTTTTCTTTATATGTAAACAATTTGTCGGGCTAAGGTCAAGATAGAGAATAGAAACATCTCTCCACTACTACAGACATTTACTTACTCCACGTCCGAGTTTTTAACAGGCGTATACGTACGATTTCTTCGAATCTTCTACGTACGGGCGGGGTTAGCCAAGCAACACCACCTTTTTTGTGACTTGACAAAGAGTCGCATTAGATGGAGATTATTCCATCGTCTGGCAACTCCTGCGATGGGTATACATCAACCCCCGCTCGGTAAAAGCAGACTTGCTGGAGTGCTCCTGCTGTGATATTGATATTCTTCCACCAGGACACAGACCTCTCCATGTCTTTCGCGAGGAGAATAAGCTGCAACCAAGTTTAGCGTCGAATTAGCGCTCCCTTAGAGACTAAGCAGCTCCGCCGCCCCTTAGGCTGTGAATAAACCTTTGTTGTAATATTTCAGACGGTCAATACTTTGGGTCTTGATTTGCAGATCGGTAGCATGACTTGGCTTCCGAGTGGTCCAGTGGGACAACTTAAGCTATTAAACTGTTGCAAATATGTTTGAAGGAAGCTACCACATATGCAAGCTTTATATATGCGTTGGTCGCTACGGCAAATAAGCTTCTCGCGCTGCCAACCACCATAAATTAATTAAATTCGTCGACCTCCAGCTGTGACTGACGTAAAGAAGCTTGATATTATCATGGCATAAGTTTTGGTCTTAAGTTTGAATTACTGACGCCATGAAAGCGGGCTTATCTGACAGAACGTTTGACCTCTAAGAGGAGATATGCACATTCGCGATAAGGGACTGTCGATCAGCATTCACATGAGGTATCACGGGAGATAGCGGACTCGGAGATACCACAAGTACCGACAGACATATATTTATTCACGAGCCATCCTCAGCCGGTTCCGTACATAGAACAAACAACTAAACGCATCTAACAGCTATAAAGCCTACGAAGGCATTTTCTGTAGCTGTTCCAGTCTAGTTGCCTCCAGTGCATCGACGATATAACCGCAATGGATGTCAGAGAACCACCAGTCATCGACTTCGCGCGTTAGTTTCCCAAGCATAGCCTTACGGTTATATACTCATCTGGATCGCAGCATTCTATGGCCCAGAGGGCACCGCAAAGGAACAGCTAGTAAATGAATTGCGGCAAGCCTGCATGGAGTTTGGTTTCTTCCAACTCATCAATCATGCCATTCCAGCGAGTCTGCAGGAATCTGTGCTTCAGCAGAGCCAAGAGTTCTTTGAGCTTCCAACACCAACAAAAGAAAAATATAGCAAAGGTATAGACAACCCATGAACATAGGAAATCACAGTTGCAGTCACCCATGGAAGCATAAACTAAACTCATACATATAAATCCTGTAGATCTTGGGGGCGATAATCGCGGATACGAATGCCTTCGGGCGCAGAACTTCGAGAAGCGAGGCAAAGGTGACCTCAAGGAAGGCTTCTACTTAGGGAAAGATCTTCCACTTGATGATCCACAGGTGGTGGCGAGGAAGTTTGGCCATGGACCTAACAAGTACCCTACGGAAGTTAGCGAGCCAGCTAAATTCCGAACTGTCATGGATGAGTATCACGACGCGATGACCTCACTGGCGATGGGGATTCTGAAAATGTTAGCACGCACTCTGGGATTAGAGGAAACTGTTTTCGACGCGTTCTGCGTCCATCCAATTGCTATCCTTCGGCTCCTGCACTATCCACCACAGGATCCTGACAGCTCGGATATCGAAAGAGGTCAGCATTACTTCCCATTTCTCCTGATTGGTCCTGACTTCAGTCGGTATAGGAGTTGGTGCTCATACTGACTTTGGCGCGATCACCATTCTTCTCCAAGACACAACGGGTGGCTTGCAGGTTTGGAACAACCTCTCGTCGGAATGGGTAGATGTGACACCTGTGCCGGGCGCCTATGTCGTGAACCTAGGGAATCTGATGATGCGATGGACAAATGATCGCTATCTATCTAACCTTCATCGGGTAATCAACAGGAGCGGCAAGGAGCGCTTTAGTGTTCCATTTTTTCTTTCTGGTAATCCGGACTACGTCGTCGAGTGTCTCCCGACCTGCATCGGGGAGGGGCCTAAATACCCTCCCATCACTGTGGCTAAATGGATAGCTGGGCGATACGCGGATACATATGGTATATCGAACGACGAGGGAATTGCCGAACTGCGAGAAGTGCCTTCATGAGAGGTATACTGTCGGAAGAATGAGGACGCGCAGACCCACCACACAATTGATGGGCAACAAACAATGGCTCTGTGAGCTTATACATTGGTCTATCGTGGAGTGTGTAGAATCGCTGCTGGTTGATTATTACGATTAATAAACGGGAAATTGATCTGCCTAACCTGGAATGGATCTGTAAATCTGATGTGACCTTCATGATGTTATATGCGCTTTATCACGTAGACTTGTCATCATTTCTCATGTCAATCTTTATTGTTCCCCTTCTCATGATCAATAATATTAAAATCTCCAAACCTCTACAACCTCATGTTCTGGAAGTTGGAAGCCATCGCTCTTAAAAGCATCGTCACAGGCCTGCACGTCAGCGGGCTCATGGTCAGTCCTTTCGGTGGTGTGATGAAATTGGACAATAAGACTCGTCTCCTGTAGCAACTCCTTGCATACATCAACCGTTGGATCTAGGAGAGAAGGTGTCCAAAGGCGGCCCCAGACGATGCGGAAGAAAAGCGAGGGATACTCATGGTGGCCGGCGTGATATTGCATTAGATCATAAAGGAGGCCAAAGCAAAGGCCTGTCTCTTTGATTGGCAATGACTGGGACAATTGCCCGTCATTGAGGCAACCAGAGCGAAGCGCTGGTTGGCAAGGTTGCTGAGTTATAAATTCTTTTGATATAGTTGTCCAGCCATTGCCAATCCCGTTGAGATTGAAAACACAGACCTGAAGTGTCTTTCAAGCAGGGGATTGAAAGAGTTCAGAATTTCTAGTGAGTAGGGACTGGTCATATCGAGATCCAGGAGAGTAATCTCTAATAGCTCTGGCGCGAGCAACACGGCCTGTACCGGAGTGCTTGGTATATCTTGTCTTCAGTTATCTGTCCATATATCGGATATTGAAGAGGGTGCAATAGAACAGGGGTGACTTGTCTACTTTCCACATTCGTGAGGTACTCAGTTGACAGCAATGACTACTGAGGTGGTCAGCTGACCATCGAGGCTTAGCAGCAATTATTGCTGAACTCATCATATCCGTTTCCCTACTTGAGCCGCTTCTCATAATATACGTTCAATATGATGAAGTCAGAAATATTTGGTGGCTAGGGAATCTTACAGGATGTATAATTAGAGGAGCTGTGGATCTAACAACTACTTGAAAATCTAAGGCACATACATTCGGCTAATATAGGCTAGAACAGGAATGGCAAACACCATGCGGACCACAGCGCCTCTTTATGTTCTCGGCTAGTTTGATCAAGTGATTTATATACTTTCCTACTGCCCCGACAGACTTCACCGACAGGAAAACAGAAACAAAGAAGCGGGATTAGCAGTAACGTAAAGATCGACAGCTCAGCCATGATGCCGAGCAGCGGCGGTGGATTTATGTAGGATGCCTTATAAAGGCGACGGTATAAATATTTCCAGATCCTCGCCAGTGACACCCGCTCACGTGGCCAATGTACTTTTCTCGCGTCACGACTCGTTCTGGATTCGTTCTCGACACCCGCGACGAATCATCACGCACGATCCCCTCCGTCCCAAGATCTCCCGGCTGAGTTGTCCTCCAATCTCAGCATGCCCAGACCACTTTCCAAGCCATTAGCGCCCCCGGCACCAAGGCTCCGTGGTCGAGCTCCGTTGGGGATTCGCAACGATCAATGAAATCGGCCAAGATACTAATGTTTGGCTCCCAATAATATGTCAGGAGCGCAAGGATAACCCCTCACTACCTTGCCTCTCCCGCAGCTAGAGCTGTGCTATAAGTGGTTCTCCCGATATCCCTAGAAACTATCTGAATTGAAACGCCCTTCTCTTTGATCGTCCTCTTTCCTCTTCAGCCACATCCGCTCCTATTCATCCCCTCCCAGTCGAGCATTTCCAGTGAGGCCCAGGGCAAAAACTTCCCCTCTCTTTTCATCTACTCTTTTGAATGGGCATTGAAACGTCTCCACCCGATGTCGAGGAATCGACGGAGCCTCCTATATGTCCTTATCAAAAGGAATCTAAGTCGCAACCAAATAATCACCCCAGTGATGTAAAGCAGGATCCCCAGGCCGAAAACCGGACACAGGAGCAGAATCCGACAGCATTGAAATCCGCGTCGAATAACTCTACTCGCCAAGATGATTGTCGTAGTTTGTTACAGTATGCTCACACAGTCGAGCCAGAACAACTGGCTGTCCTTCTGGACGTTGATGCTCGGTAGGCTCCCTGTGTATTTAAAAAGGATATCAAGCCACTTACTAACTGGGCATAAGCCATGGCCTTTCCAGTACCGACTCGGCCGCTCGCCTACAGCGAGATGGGCCCAACAGGGTCCGAGAAATGGAGGGTCTATCCATATGGAAAATACTGCTGAGGCAAGTTTCCAACAGTTTGACCTTAGTATGATGCCCGCCTATACACCTATTATTTTCTGCATCTCCGATGTAGGACACACGTTTTTCATTCTCCTAACTACATAACATAGGTTCTTCTGATTACCATGGCGATATCATTTGGTATCGATGACTACATTGAAGGAGGAGTTATAACCGCAGTCATCCTCCTCAATATTGTTGTCGGGTATGCTTGTTTCTCTCTCTCCCCTCATGTGAATCTATAGTACTATTGATGTTGCGAATTGCAACTCGCTGATTGCTGGAGCTAATATTTGTTCATCTAGATTCGTACAAGACTACCGCGCAGAAAAGACAATTATGTCTCTGCAAAGACTATCCGCACCTGTATGCAAGGTTCTGCGCGATGGCCGGGTTTCCTCTGTAAAGGCCGAGTCTCTGGTAGTTGGCGATATCGTGCAACTAGCGGTGGGCGATATCGTCCCTGCGGACATGAGACTATTCGATGGTATGAATGTCTCAGTGGACGAGGCATTGTTGACTGGGGAATCCCTGCCGGTTACCAAAACACCACATATCACGCTGACCTCCCAAGATGTACCCCTTGGTGACAGAACAAACATGGCATATTCTGGGTGCAGCACCACACAGGGTCGAGCCACAGGAGTCGTTACTGCTACAGGAATGAAGACGGAGGTCGGAAAAATAGCTCAGCTACTCCAAGACAAACGAGATCAGGGCAGTGCCAACCCGTTTGTTCGGGCGTTTCGGAATGTAAAGTCTACCACCAAAAACATTCTAGGACTCGTTGGGACACCATTACAGGTGAAGCTGAGCAAATTTGCCCTTCTGCTTTTTGGCCTGGCGGTGCTTCTGGCTATCATTGTCTTCTCCGTTAATAAGTTTGACATCCAGGGAGAAGTGTTAATCTACGGGATATGTGTTGCAGTGGCGGTTGTACCTGAGTCCTTGATAGCAGTGCTTACCATCACCGTGGCAGTGGGTACAAAGGCAATGGCTAAGGGAAATGTCATTGTGCGTAAGCTACAATGCCTTGAGGCTGTTGGCGGAGTGACTAATATATGCTCTGATAAAACTGGCACCCTCACACAAGGCAAAATGATTGCAAGAACCGCGTGGATTCCACGTGCTGGCACGCTTACAGTCAGCCAAACAACCAACCCGTATGACCCAACAAGCGGGTCTGTTCAAATTGACGAAGTGGACTGGAAGCCGCACGGAATGCAGGGTAACAAAGCACTAACTACCTTTTTAAATACCATTTCACTATGCAACCTTTCGACTGTGCAAAAGGAACAGCAGTCAACACCACCAGAAAAGGAGCCTGGCCATGGTGCACAAGTGAGATGGACCGCAGTCGGAGAGCCTACTGAAATTGCTCTTCACGTCCTCGCAATGCGCTTTGGCCTCGGAAAGACAAGAATACTGCAAGACAACAATCTACAACTTCATACTGAATACCCATTTGACTCTTCAATCAAGCGGATGACGGTAGTTTACCGTAGTCCTGAAATGGGCTTGAACGAGGTATATACCAAAGGGGCTCCAGAGACAGTTATTCCTAGATTGAATAGCGGCGAGATAGAGAAGTGTTCAATCCAAGACACGGCAGATAGAATGGCTGGAGAGGGGTTGCGCGTTCTTTGTGTCGCTTACAAAAGAGTTCGTATTGATAATGACCTTGAAGTCTCCTCGCGAAGCACAGCTGAATCAAATCTAAGCTTCGGCGGGCTCGTGGGACTATATGATCCTCCTCGTATTGAGACTGCTGCAGCAGTGCGGAGATGCCAAATGGCAGGTATCGGGGTACACATGTTGACCGGTGATCATATTCGGACAGCAACAGCCATTGCATCAGAAGTTGGCATACTGGACCCCCTTATCGGAGCGAAATCCAGCAGATTGGTGATGGCAGCAGAGGACTTTGACCGACTTTCCGACATTGACATCGATGCCATCGAGCAGCTACCGCTCGTCATCGCGCGATGCAGTCCAACTACAAAGGTCCGAATGGTGGAGGCAATGCATCGGCGTAACGCGTTCTGCGTTATGACCGGTGATGGAGTGAATGATTCGCCGGCTTTAAAACGCGCGGATGTGGGTATAGCAATGGGGAAGAACGGAAGTGACGTGGCTAAGGAAGCTGCTGATATGGTTTTGACCGATGATAACTTCTCGTCCATTGTAAAAGCCGTCGAAGAGGGAAGAAGACTATTTGATAATATTCAAAAGGTACACGATCCTGTTCTGAAAGAGCTTCTGTGGCTTTCGCTAACCTTCTTCACAGTTCCTTATGCACCTACTCATCTCAAATATCGCACAGGTCGTCCTACTACTCGTCGCCCTGGCATTCAAAGATGCAGAGGGGAACTCCATATTCCCCCTCTCTCCGCTAGAGATTCTGTGGGCTAACCTAGTTACATCTTCGTTTCTCGCGATAGGCCTGGGGCTCGAAGAGGCCCAGCCCGATATCATGTATCGCCCCCCGCATGACCTGAAAGTAGGGGTGTTCACCCGGGAACTCATCACTGACAAAATGATATATGGAACATGTATGGGCTCACTGTGTCTTGTGGCTTTTGTATGTGTTATCTATGGAAAAGGCGAGGGAACCTCTTCTATGGGGCACGATTGTAACGAAGCATGGAATGAAAGCTGTGGGGTTGTTTTCCGGGCACGAGCGACAACATATGCAACTTTGACCTTTTTACTTCTGGTTACTGCCTGGGAGGTAAAGCACTTTACACGATCCCTATTCAACCTTGATCCGGGCAGATATCCCGGCAGGTTGTCTGTTTTCCATTCCATCTGGCGCAACCGATTTTTATTCTGGGCCGTGGTGGCTGGGTTCGTGATCGCTTTTCCGGTGATCTACTTACCAGCCGTCAATCGGATTGTTTTTAAGCATCAAGCAATCGATTGGGAATGGGGCGTTGTATTCGGCTGTGTCGTGGTCTACCTAGCGATGGTGGAGACCTGGAAGGCGACGAAGCGAGCCTTCGGTATCGGCAGCGGCAAGAATGCCACTCTGACTCTGGAAGATGCTGAGACGAGGGCTGGCCTTGCATCACCCGTGCTGACACTAAGTGCCAACGCCAGTGTTGATGCCAGCGTAGAGATGAAGTAGTTGTGGAAGGATCCCCATCGGGGAAGAGAATCAAGGTGGAGGCTGCCCTATGTTCAACCATAGGCAAACTGCGGATTTTGTTCTCCACATCTTGAGGCTTATTGAGGTGTTCAACACGCCTCTCCTGTACTTTCTTTCCCACGTCCTGGTTTCTTTGTGTTTTCTCGATTGAATCGCGCCCCTATGATTTATGCCGAACCCTAGTACAGTCGCTCATTAATATCCGCATGTTGCTGTTTGTGCGACCAGAATGGAAACACTTGCTCTGCTGCCATTACAAAGCAATAGGAACCGTATCTTACTTGCCTCGGCGTCCGATTACTGCGCGGAAATCGGACGCTAATGGGAGGGGCCAGAACCTTAGGCCACCGATCACGATGATCATAGGAGAAAAGTTTCCATGAGTCCCGCGCATCCCAGAGGCCCTAGACAAATAATGTAGATCGATCTGGGGGAACCATGGAACAAGGTCTGACAGCGATCGGAGTTTCTTCGCCTTAGTAAAAACTGTCCGACACGCCCGAGCATGTAGGGAGGAGACATATACGACCTCAACCGATGGTATCCTGCAGCTCTAGTGGGGTCAATTGAATCCTGCATAAGCGCTGACACGAGAAACAGACCCAATCTCACCCCTCACACCATTCTTTTCTATCCCTCCCTCCCTCTCTCCAATTCCTCCCAATTCCTGCAAACCCACCAACCCTCCAACACCACCAATCCACCCAAAATGCGCATCCTCTGCCTCCACGGCCGAGGCACCAGCGCCCAAATCTTCAAATCCCAAACCAGTCCGTAACCCCAAGTCCCTCCCAAGAATAACATAAGAATAAAATTCAAATAAAATACAGCCTCCTTCCGCACCCGCCTCCAAGACCTCCCCATAACCTTCGACTTCATCGACGCCCCCTACCCCACCACCCCAGCCTCAGGAATTGACCTCTTCTACGACCCTCCTTACTACACCTTCTGGCCCGATGACTCCCCCACCTCCCTCCAACAAGCCAGAACCTGGCTCCTAGCCTACATCGCCCAAAACGGCCCCTACGACGCCGTCCTCGGCTTCTCCCAAGGCTGCACCCTAGCAGCCCTAACCCTCCTCCTCCACGCCCACGAATCCCCATATACACCCCCACCTTTCAAAGCAGCCATCTTCATCTGCGGCGGTGCACCACTACCCCTCCTCGAGGAACTGGGGTATACCATCACCCCCGAGATGAAATCCCGGGATACAGAGTCTAGGAAGAAATTATCGATCCAGGCTGATTCGGCTGCTATTCTGGCGCAGGGCGCGGAGAGGTGGAGCGGTAGTGGGGATGGTGGGGAGGGGATTGATGAGGAGGGGATTCGGGGAGAGATTGAGCGGTGTGGGATTGGGAAGGTGAAGATTGGGGTTCCGACCGTGCATGTTTATGGACGAAAGGATCCGAGGTTTTCGGCTGGAGTGCAGTTGTCGGGGGTTTGTGAGGGGGGTATTAGGAGGTGTTTTGATCATGGGGGTGGGCATGATATTCCCAGGTCGTCGGGGGTTAGTGAGAGGTTGGCGGAGCTAGTGAGGTGGGCTTTGAAGGAGGGGGGTGTTGTTTAGGTTTACTCTTTTTGGGATTTCGGGTTGCGGATAGATGGTTAGATATATTACTATTTTTATATATGAGGTTTCCAGAGAATTATGGCCATGGGTGGTAGATGTACAGCTTTTGTAGAATGTAGTGGGTCAGTTGACGAGGTATATATGATTTTCTCGGGGGTGAGTCCTTGGAGAATTCCTCGTGTGGTTTGTCATGTGAGTCACTGGGGAGTGATATGTTTCAGAGGAAAAAGTAGAGATAGTGGAGGCTGATGGGCCTTATCAATATATTGAAATAAATAGTATATAGAAAGAAGTATTGGGGATTGACTGGGAACAGAGGTTAGGCGTGTTTATATAATGAGAACTGGTCACCACTTAACCAATGGCGCAGCTGACTACTTCTCCAAGTAGGTCTTCCATTTTAGCAGCTATAGATAGTGAAAAGTCAATAAGGAGAAATAGACTGATCTCCACGAATCCGTGAAGGCCACGGTAGAGCCAGTTAACAGGAACGAAAGTATAAGATACAAGAAACCGACAAGCAGCAAATGTCTAGTTGTCATCAAACATTAACAGCCGTCGATCAAGATCCTCCATGCTCGACGCATCGGACGATATAGGCTTGCATAAGCGCTTCTCTATTCCCTTTTCCGCCGAACTATTCAACCAACTCAGGTACGATTGCCAAAAGACAGCGAAGATAGACGTAGCAACCGAGCGAGACTGAGGTTGTATATAGGTAAAATTGAACGCCGTGACCAAGGGCCAGTATAGAAAGCTCCTTGGTATACTGGTAGGCACTGTATCCTTTACACGTTCAATGGCACCCATGACTCCATCTCCGGAGAGGATCCCGTGAAATGCAAAAAAGTACACATTGAATAACGGAGTATAAAAAAGCTGATTGGCAGCCACCTTCGCACAGAGGGATAGAGATGGAGAATAACTGTAGTTGAACCGTCGCCCTAGAAATAGGAACCATTCACGACTGGGAATAGCAATTACGAGGCCGACGACGATACTTCTTAGAGAGCGGCGGGGGTCGAAATCATCATCGCCGATCATCTGTGCGGAGAAATCGCCAATGCAATATATTAATGGTGTGAGGCATAATTGGGTGAGGTATGGTCTGCGGCTTTGCGAGTGGGAATACCAGTCGAGGAGTGCTAGAGCTGGTTTCCATGGTCTTTTCGGTCTCGACTTTCCGTTAGGTTCTTGATTCGGATGTTTTGGCCTTGTACAGAAGGTCACAGTTTGTGTGCGGTTCAAGCAACCCAGCCGTTGATCGCATTTGTAGCGTGCCAACTGAACATGTCGACACTGTCTAGCTTGAGTATGAGATCCCGAGTGCCAACGGGGACGCAGGGATTGGACAACACGCATAGTTTGTGATAAAGAGCACGAAGGGTCGCTTTAGCAGCACGAAAAAAAATCATTTAACTGCCTTCCAGAAAGTTGAAAGATGTGAACAACTTTTGCACCTTCTCTCCTGTTAAAAACGGCCGCATATTGGATGTCCGGACTATCATAGTGCGGCACTTCAAAGTTCCGATATATTGTTGTGTCGGAACTCTCAATACCAGAACACATTAGCAACCGAGTACGTCCAGTATCGAACATGAGTAAATCGCATAAATATTGATTAAATCTGCTCTCTTCCAATAGAATCGTCGATTCCCCTTCTAAAGCATACCCATAATGACAATCGGTGCCGTGGCCCATAACCTAGAACATCATTAAAAGGTCCCCAACCGTACGTAGCCTTTGTTAGCGTTGAGACCAACTTATAATGGTAACGTTCTTCTTTGCTATACAGGCCTATAGAGCCCCACTATATGAGTTACCTCATCGATATCTTCAGATCCATCAATTTTATATTCAGTTGAGTCAACAATTAAGCAATGGTAGGTATATGTCGCACAAAACACAGGTCATTGGTGCCTGAGGCGTTTAACCACCTAATTCAGGTTGCAAGATGGAAAACATCCTGCGATATAGAACAAACACCGCACCTCCAACATCTTATCCTTTTTTCGAAGCGTTTAATGATTCAATTGAATCTACGTCTATAATAAATTCCGTCTCTCATAGTGTCTACATTTAAATAGACCACCGCAACCAGAAAAGAATAAATTACATAATTTTTGCGGCAAGACCCGCTCACTAGCGCTCACTCCACAAAGCTGTGCAGTCAAGGTAGCGGAGATTCTATCATAAATTGCACCCTCCGGATATGCAAGGGACCGAAGTCACAAGTCCAAAATTATGGGAACCCAGAGCTCTCAGCGACAAACTCAAGCCCGAGGTCGAGCTATCTGCCGTACATGCAAAAGTTGCCGTCAGAAAAAGGTGCGATATGACAGCATCCTTCACCTGATCTCGCCCTGTGGAGAAAATCAGGTTCGGAGGTGATACTTTACCAGCAGTATCTGACATTGGTTACAAGGTAAAATGTGATAGCCAACATCCAAAGTGCGGCACGTGTCGTAGGAAAAATCAAGACTGCGAATATCCGAGGGATGGAAGAAAAACAGCCGTGCGAGCCAAAAAGGAAGACATAAAATCGCTCGAAGAACAAGTTGAAGAACTGAAGGGTCAGATTCGCCGACGGGTCACAGTAGAAAACGCTGCGAGCACGGATAACTTGCATCCGTATGAGACCTCAGCTCATTCCGACTCCGGGTCTAGGTGTTCTAGGGGCTGCCCAAATGAACCCAGTGAGCTGCCAAATGGTCGAAATACAACATGCGGTCCACCGATAGCTGAACAGCTATGGCCTGCCTCACTGGGTCCTGCAGAGTGCGATCAAACCTTGCAGGACCAACTTACCTGTCAGAATAACGGGGAAAAGACATGCGCTGATCCAGATCCTTTGGGGGGCCGTCAAATACAAGTCTATGGGGCTACAAGTCTGCTACCTGGGTTCCTGGAAGCTCCTTCGTCCGATTGCCAGTCCAAAGAAAATAACGAAGACGCATTCTTGAGAAACATTACCCAAGATCGACTCGTTGCCTTCTCGGCAATTGTTAGACCGAAGGAGACTATAATCTACTCCACACCCAGTATAGCAGTGAATATCGATTTTGACGGCGTTCCCGTAGACATGGCAATGCATCTGCTGGAGTTGCATTGGAACAGGCTACATTTGATGTATCTTTTGACATATCGCCCGCTAACTATGGACAGCCTCTTCAATAACGGACCTTATATAAACAAGCTGTTTTAGACGCTATCTATTTACAAAGCAGTCTATACAGTGATCGAGTACCTTTGCGCTCAGAGCCTGATGACGCGCAAACGATGGGCATGGCGTTCTACGACCGGTTCAAAGCCCTACTCATCCACTACATTGACCAGCCCAGTCTACCCACCGTCATCGCACTACTGACTTGTGGTGCTTGCCTACTACAATACGGAAAACAAAGCGCTAGTTGGGCTTATTGCGGTATGGCATACAGGATGATAATTGACCTTGGGTATCACCGAGAGGATCCAAGGTCCTCTCAAAGTGGCGAAGATGCCAGACTCTCTGCCTTAGATAAGGAGGCCAGAAGGAGGGTCTACTGGGGAGCATATGCTAATGATAAATTCCAGTCCTTGTATCTGGGCCGACTCCCAGGGCTTCAGCAATCTCATGGCAATGTCCCCCGCGACTTCTTTGACTTTTACGAAGAATTGGAAGAATGGAAACCATACACCGACGCTCGAGCTCGACTCAATGACACCAGTATCCCGGTTTATCCAGGTCGGCCGTCATATGCTCTCAGCACGTTTCAGTGTTTGCTCCAGCTCTCGGTTATTACGGAGACAATCGTCAACACATTCTATTCGACTAAGGATGCTATGGCAACGGCGCATGACTTTTTACAACGCAAACAAACGGTCAACGCACAACTGGATCGTTGGAAAGAAACCCCTCCAGCGCATCTACTGTTTGACCCGAAAAGGGATGAAACACCTCTACCATACCAGATGACACTATAGTATGCCTTCTCATTATTTGATTAATTTCAGGACATCTAATGATCAAATCCTCAGCACAACATATTGGACCCTGGTCATTCTGACTGAGCAGCCGTTTCTCGCCCGTGGTCATTTCGAGTTCACCACAGTCCCGGAATTGCAAAACGAATCAAAGAGGAAGTGTATCGAAGCATCTCTCGAAATTCGAGACCTTATTGAAGCGTACAGAAAGACATTTTCGCTTAGACGCGCCCAATACGGTATTTCATACGCGATGTATAGCGCAGTTATTGTTCTGCTTCAGCACACTGACCAAGATTGTGATGAATACCCTGAAGCTATCCGATTCTTTTGGCTTGCATTGTTGGAATACCAGAATGGATGTGGCCATGGACTGAAAGGGCCACTCAGGCTGCTCAAATCACTGATGCGTCGGGTTGAAAAGGTAGGACAACGTATTGATATCGACCCGCCGGGTACTACCGGGTCACTGGCTTCCAATGGTGAGTAACGTTTCTAGGTTTCTTGAGGGGTCACACTAATAGCAATATAGACGTCCAGTTTGGAATCGACCCCATCCCGTTGATGGAGGGTTTCGGACAGGGGGAAGCTTGGATCAGATCCTGGCTCAACGTAGAGACCGACAATTTGTACTTTGCCGATGACACTATATTTGGCTTCTTCGCACAAGAATAATCACCGCAATTCCTGGTATACCATGGGCATACCATCGAGTGGCATCTATACACTCCGATCATCAGGATACCTGGGTGCTCATGTATTTGGTATCACGGCTCCTACGGCCTTTAAAGGGCTGGCTTAACCCTCTCAGGAGCAAGACGATCAGTAGAGATTCTAGCTAGAGCTTAACCAACCAGATGATGACATCGCTTTATGGGATTCGATCGCATTTAATAGCGACCATGAAACCATCGCTTTGACTTGCATTGCCAGGGAGCTATTACCGAGAAGATTGTGAGGCCGACAGTGGAAGTCCGCCAAAATATGAACTTCCAGGTCTGCGCCGATGCCTGGAGGTCGCTCGTGTCTTCCTTCCCTCCGGTCGCAAAATGACAGGCGGGGGGGATTCAAAGAACGGGGGCTTGGAATACCTTACGTAGACGAATACGCCTGGTTGCATATATTGCAATACAACGAAAGCACCCAGAGTGAACGAATGGGCGGGGATTCGTTCTGGTCTGTCGTTCGGACTCATTCCATATACATGTTGAACTGGGTCTCAAGAGATGCCGTCGTGAGTGACAGATTCACATTATGATTAGAAACTCCCAATCTCATAAGTTTTCTACTTTACATGGCCACCCTATAATATAGCGCGATATAACTCCGTTTATACTGAACTACAAGGCGACACTTCTGAATGATCAACAGGGTGGTTGGAGATCGATTTAGGGATGCGACAATACTAGTGTCTTCGAGGGTTGACGTGTCAGGTGCAGACTTTCACCCCAGCCAATGACCAGAAGAAGTGCGGAGTTAGTGTGTACACACAGCCACACAGCACTCGCTTTCCTGTTGCGCTAACACCCGCGATTGTAAGGAAAGAAAGGTGCTAGGGGATACATGCTCAGCATCTTCATTCTACAAGGCATCTCCATCGCCGGAGTCTTGCTCTCAGAGTATTAAGTATATCCTCCGGATCAAATCCGAATCATGCGTCTCCTCAAAACTACCAAGTCCGAAGTGGGCGCCTTCGAAATTGAGCTCTTCACGGATGACCAACTCCAATATCTGCCATATGCAATCCTGTCCCATACTTGGGGTCCAGATGAGGTTACTCTACAGAATATCAATGAGCCTGTCGTAAAGTCCTGGAAGGGTTACAAGAAGATTGAAGAATGCTGCTCGATGGCCCACGAGATGGGGTATGAATACGTTTGGATCGACACTTGCTGCATTGACAAGACAAGTAGCGCAGAGCTATCAGAGGCAATCAACTCCATGTTCGTCTGGTACCAAGAGGCTCGCGTATGCTATGCCTATCTCTACGACGTACCATCGACGCCGTTTGAAGAAAGCAGGTGGTTTACCAGAGGATGGACTCTGCAAGAGTTAATTGCGCCACAGGTGGTGATATTTTTTAACAGGGACTGGGAGCAGTTAGGTAATAAGACGAGCCTTGGGAGAAGAATATCTCAACGCACTCGTATACCTGAGAGTATTCTTTCGGGTGAGAAAGATCTTGATACGTGTAGTACCGCACAGAGAATGTCATGGGCAGCGGAGAGGCAGACAACTAGAGTTGAGGATCGTGCCTATTGTTTAATGGGGTTATTTGGTGTTAATATGCCGCTGATCTATGGGGAAAGAGAGAGTGCTTTTATTAGACTCCAGGAAGAAATTTTACGGATCTCGGAAGACCACAGCCTATTTGCTTGGAAGTCTTCGGATACTCGCGCTGGACTTCTTGCCACATCTCCTGCTGCCTTTATTGACTCCCACGATATTGTTCCACACGACATTGTCCCATGGGAGACATTTGATACACGCAGTAGCCCTTTGATTATAAGCGGCAAGGGCATTCATCTAGACCTTTGTCTCATAGGCTTAGAGCATGTCGGGCTGGGGCTGGCGGTTCTGCAATGCAAGAAAGTTGATGGCGAGTATACATCGGTCGGCATCTTTGTGCATGACCCCTCCTTGACACTGGAGCGATTCAAGAGAGTTCATTGTGACGATTTCCGCCATCTTGATCTCAAAAGGTACAAGAGCTACCAATATCGTACGATAAGGATGTGTATCCAAGCTGGTCGCATGGCACGTTCCCAGAGGCCAAGGGACTCCGAACAATACAATATTTTTTCGCCGATCCGAATTTACCTTGAGTCCGAACCAATACGAATCACCAATTGGCATAGCTCCATGGCAGAGGTTTATCTATGGCTGTTGGTCGCCCGGGGCAGTCTTGAAGCAACCTTAAGCAAGGTTTCCAAGAACCGGACGCCACTAGCGTGGGCTGCTCAGCAAGGCCTTGAGGGATTTGTCCGTGTTCTGCTCAAGAGGGGTGCTGCCATTGAGCTGGGTGGGGAGATGATTGATACGCCCCTTTCCTTGGCATCTCGGAATGGGCATACTGCTATAGCCAAGCTGCTACTTGATAAGGGAGCCAACATTGAGGCAAGAGGTAGCACTGGTCAAACACCATTAATGGATGCTATTTGTGCTCAAGATATAGATATTGTCAATGTGATACTTAGCAGGAATCCTGACATTAACGCAAGTGATAGACACGGCGTCACACCATTAATCTATGCTATCAGAACTCAGGATATAGCTATTATCGATTTGATACTTAGCAAGAATCCGAACATTGAGGCAGGAGATAGCCGTGGTGACACACCATTAATCAATGCTATACGGACTGGAGATACAGCTACTATCAATGCGATACTTAACAGGAATCCTAACATGGAAGCAGGAAATATCGCAGGTCAAAGACCATTAATACATGCACTTGACGTTGGCAATCGAACTACCATTAAGATGCTGCTTGAGAAAGGTGCCGATATTGAGGCAAGAGATGCGTATGGCCGAACACCGCTGCTATATGCCATTACTCTGACGCCAGTACCATATGACAAGCCCTCTGAAATAGTGAATCTTGTTGATATGCTAATTCAACATGGTGCCGATATTAATGCAAGGACTAGATATGGTGAGACAGCACTGCAGTGGGCCACAAGTCGAGGATGCAAGGACATTGTCGATCTACTAAAAGAGAGAGACCCCATTACTAAAGCAAGACGTGAGACAGCCATGTCAAGGGTATCTAGGAAGTCGCACCAGGGCATTTTCAGGCTCTTTAAATCAGAGTCCTAGAGATGTGTTTCTCATCACCCCACCAAGGCCACGGTACCCTATGCCATTCTAGCCATTGCACTGAAAGACACATGAAACGGAACTCTCGGTGTTTGGCGCAAATGGCAATTTCCTAATATATCCTAGTTATAAGTGTATCTTTATTGTTACAAATAGATCTATTATCCAACATATCAGTGGGTCACTAACAATCGCATATTTCATGGCTTAGTCTACCTGTACCTTTAGCACAAACGGTAACAATTCACGACTATCCAATTTTGCTTATAAACCCTATATAAAACCTACATAAACAATGGTATACCAAAACCCTCAAACCAAAACAAAACCTACAAAGAACTCTTACTCTTCAATAAATGGGCATTAACCGGCGTCAACGCCTTGCCCTTCAACAAAAAGCCCTCAATATTCTCCATCGCCAACCTCTCAAACCCAATATGGGTATCGACAGTCCCACCGGCATTATGCGACATAGCCATAACCCGAGGATGCTTCACCAAGCGCGGATGCACATACGGCTCATTAGCATGAACATCCAACCCAGCCGCGGCCAAATGGCCCTCATCCAGCACCTGCACCAACGCCTCCTCATCCACCAACGACCCACGCGCGATATTAATAAATCTCGCCCCCTTCTTAAACTGCCTAAACCGCTCCAGCGTCAGCAAAGTCTTCCCAGCAAACGGCGTCGCAACGACAACACAGTCTGCATCGGCCAGCAACGATTCCAAATCCTTGTAATACGTCGCGCCGACCCTAGACTCCTGCTCGGCACTCTTCCGGAAGAGATCGTGGTAGGCGATCTTCATGCCGAAGGCGGCGTAGGCCTTCTGTGCGATCATGTATCCGATTTGGCCCAGACCGATGATGCCCAGAACGTGGTTGCGCGGGTTGCGCGCTGTAAGGGGTGAGTTCTTGTGGGCGTCGGCGAAGGCCTGTGGGTTGGCGGAGTAGGCAGCTTGGTGGGACCAGGCGAGGTTGCGGAACACTGACAAGATCAGGAAGATGGTCATGTCGGCCACGGATTCCGACGAGGCGGCGGCCCCATTGCAGTAGATTATTCCTGTAAGATTTTCAAACACAACCCAATTAGCTGGTTCGGTCTAGTCTACTGTATTTTTTTTCTCCACATGCGGGTGGGTTTTCTTTTTTTTTTCTTTTTTTTTTT